TTACAATGCAGAAAATGTGTCTGTACAAAGATGCCCACCAATTGTCACTTACAGTTACCCAGTTGTAAACAACCTCAGTATCTCAGATGAGGAGTTCAATAAATGATGCAAAACTTCATGATTTTATGATTCTGCAGCTATTAAATTACGTTTTCAAAAATATTTGACGTAAGGAAAACTGTCTATAGGGTATAAAGTTAAGTGGAAAAAGCAAGGATTTTTTTTAAAAAGTTGAATGTAAATCCAATTTAGTAAAAATTATATATGTAAAAAAAAGGGAATATATGTAAGGGACCAAAGCAGTGCTTCTAAAGTGGGAGGACGCTGACCCTGGGATCAGGGCGGCAGATTGAATTTGTGGTCCCAAGTCTCCACCCGCTTGTGGTGGCATCTATAGAAGTTCAAGCTCTTGCCAGGGGCTCCTGGTGGGCAAAGTATTCATCTCCACCTCTTAACTTTGGGTTGGCTATGTGACTTGCTTTGGCCAATGGGATGTTAGTGGATTATGACACAAGCAAAGGCTTACAATGTATTGTGCAGTGGGATTTATGTGCCCCTGGGAGTCCCTTGGTTGCAGGGGGATGAGAGCCACTTGGAGCAGACACAGACCTTACCTGCAGCTTGGATCCACCAACATCATTCAATCCTCAGCCAACCCACAGACCCCTGAGTGCACAATAAGTGCTTATAATTGTAAATCAGTGAAGTTGGAGGTTGTTTGTTATGCAGTATTACAGCAATAGCTGTCAGATACACCCACGCATTTCTGCAGATTCCATATTCTCTCCAACCCAAGAATCACCATCGTGTGTGGAGCTGATCCACCTGCTGGGCATGAATTGTGTTCCTGAAGAATGCTGAGATGTAGAAAAGGGGTAAAGAACTCTGTTCTGCGTTAACAGTAGTGAGCCATGGATTGTAGGATTCTAATTTTTAATTTTCTTCTTTATATTTATATATATTTTCCAAAGTTTGTGCAATAAGCATGGTTAACTTTTATAACCAGAGGAGGGGGAAAAGCTATTAAAAATTGGAAAACAAAATTGGAAAGCAACTCTTCATGGCATCTCATTGATCCTAACCTTTGACGTCTCCAAGAACAAAGCTAATTGTCAAGTCCTTCACCCACAGAATTGTCTTCAAGTCTCTGAAGACAGGGTCCTTGGCCCCTGCACATTGTCTTTTCTCCAGTTTGGCAACTCTGGTTTCTTGATTGTGGCTCTGCTTTCTGAATGGGTCCCACTGGTCTCTTGCCTTAAAATGTGGTGTGTCCCAATCTGAGTTGAGGTAAGGAAGCTGGCCAGACAGGGATAACGGAAAACACCTGGAAGAGGCTTCCCTGCCATGGCCCCAGCTGCAAAGGTGCTAGGCATTCCTGCCTTCACTCCCAGCCCCACACCCTGGGGCGTCATGCTCTGCCCAGCCCTGCTCTCCACCCGGGAACAGCTGGGTTACTTCGAGGCTTGTGCTCGAGGCTGTAAGTGCTGGCCAGTCCATGGGAGCATCTCAACATCTTCAAACCCGAGCCCACCTGGCACCAGCATGTTTCTCTTACTAGGTGTCTTCAGAAGATGCTGCACTGTTTCCGTGCCCTGCAGTACAAAAGCTTGCTCACTCGACCTGGCTGCAAGCTGCCAGGAAGCCCAGCCCTGGGTCTCCAGCTGCTCTCCAGCACTGTGGAAGGGGAGACGTGAAGCTAGAGCTGCATCTCCCTTACCCCTAACTCTCCGGACCTAGCCAGGACCTGGCACAGTGCAGGTGTTCAGTGTTGGACGAGCAGGGATGTGTGAGTAAATGGAGAGAGCTGAGCTCCTGATGACTCTACCCAGGGAGAGAACTTTCAGATATGGTACCAGAATGCTGTTTACGGGGCACTGTTCCCCACTGGGTCCTCCCCACAACCCGGGAGCTAGAGAGTGGCAGTTTCCCAGCTCCATTCTACAGAGCGGGCAGCTACAACTCAGTGCGGTTATGTGGCTTGTCCAAAGTCACGCAGCTGCTTGGTGGTTGAGCTGGGACATCAACTCAAGTCCACTGGGGCTCCAAATGGAACAACTATCACTGTAACTGGAAGTGGTTTGGTAACAAAAAGACCTCTAGGAACAAGAGCTAACATGCATCGGAAGCTTATCGTGTGCCAGGCGCTTTGCTAAGCCCGTCATCGCTCATGCAGCCTTCATACACACCCTGCGAGAGTGACTCTCCCCATTTTACAGATAAGGAAATGGAGGCTCAGAGAGGTTGAAGGCTTTCCCAACATCATTCAGCCCAGGGGGCAAGCCCCATATCTGTCTCCTTTCAGAGTTGCTGTTAAAGACTGAAGGGGGTACAGGTGTGAATCATGATCTAGAGGCAGGGGTCATGGCTCAAATTCAAGTCTGGGTAACAATTCCCAGGTAGAACCAAGGGAGAACGTGCTACAGTAGATCCCTGCTACTCAGAATTTGGTCCGGGGACCTGCATCATGGGTATCACCTGGTAGCTTGTGAGACAGGCAGAATCTACATTTTAACAAGATCCTCTGGGGATCCATGTGCACAGTAAAGCAGTGGTCTAATTTGCTCTGCAGTAAGGCCGGCATCAGCCTCAGGGGAAGGTGTGACTCCTGAGGACAGTGCCAGCCCTCATCATCAGGGGTTCTGCTGGAGTTGGGGAGGGGCATCTGAGAACTGGGAGGAACAATGTCTCTAGCCAGCCAATCAGCCACCTGGGATCCCACTGAGAGCTGCCCATGGTCCTGCGTGTACTTTGAGGGAGGTTCCCTGTGCCCTGACTTCCCTTCCCTGCCCCTCCGTTCCCCATCCACTTCCAGCCTCACTTCCTCCATGAAGCCTCCCCAGCTGCCCCTGCCCCAGGCAGAGAGTAGAGCTCACCCTGGGCTGCCGTTTCTTTGTACAAGGCTCTTAGTGTACCTACTTCCTTACAGTTATCACTTAGTTGTTTATATTTATATCTCCCCCACTGGAAGAAGACGTTCTCAGGAAGAAAGGCCATGTCTCAACACATATTCCAGCACCCAGCTTGGAGCCTAGCACAGAATGGGCCCTCCGTTAGTTACTGTGTTGGATGAATGAATGCTTATATCCTCTGAGTAAGTGCAGAATGAATGAATGAATGAAAGTCTTAAATAAAGGAGTGAATCTTTAAGTGAAAAAATTTTAAGAACCACATAGGAGCCCAAAGTGAGGGATATTTTGGGGACCAGAGGACTCTTGGCTACCACTCTTGGCCCTAAGGGTCATCCATGTCCCATGCACAGGGATACCTGTGGCCATGCCACCTCCCAGGATGAGCTGTCTCCCCAAAGGTCACCCAGGGTGAGCCTTAGTAAACTAGGCAAGGGTTTATGAGTCCTCCAAGCTCCCTCTCTCCCCTCTCCACAACATCATAAATCATAGGAATACTGTAGCCAGTCACCTGGGCTGTTCCAAGGAATGAGGGAGGAGGGGGGGCCTCAGGATTGTCAGTACCCCTGACTCAAGCTAGTGACCGTCTGCATCTCTTTGACATCAGCAGAGACTTGCTCTGGGGTGAGGGAAGTCACACAGGCCCACGGGGCCCTTTCAGTCCTCACTGGCCTTTAACACGTGGATGAGATGCGAAGGGAAAAGAAAAACATGATGGGCTGTGTGTGTGTATGTGTGTGTGTGTACTTCCATCTGTTACTATTCTGGTGGGAGATTAAATATTCTGAGTAGGTTATCACCAGCTCGGGAGGATTAGGCAGTTCTGACTAAAAATAAAATCTCATAAGATATCGTGAGATGGGGAGGTTGGGAGCCCTCAAATTTTCTTTTTTCTTTTTTTCCCCTTTCATGCAGAATAGTATAGTACATCATTGTAAAATATTTCAAAAAGTTGATCTAACACCTTTATATAGTTTGGATTTTACTAGCAAGTTCAAGGTGTGTGTGTTGGTGGGGTGAGGAGGTAGGGAATACCTACAGTTATTTATTCCTGTAGTGACTGATTTCACTTTTCTATTTCCTATGATCTCATATAAGAAATTATTCTAGGCAAAACGCTGCCACCTAGAAGGTGAACAAATTTTAATTCTCCTACAGCAAGTGGTAAAAAGGTGAGAATTGTGAGAGTTGGAAAGCCAGTCTTAGCGGAACAACTGCTTAAAGTCTGAGAGGGGCAGGGTCTTTCAAGGGAAATCAAAACTGATACCTGGGCTCAGAGAGGTGCAGTAACTCACTCAAGGTCACACAGCAAACAGGAGGCAGAGCCCAAATCTGGCTGACCTCAAATTCTGAGCACTTTTTCTGATCAAAGCTCCTAGAACTTTCCTCCAGATACCTCCAGTAGCAGAGTAGAGTGAACTTGACTTTCAGGGGGCTGGTCTCGGACCTGAGG